GACCTAGATAAACCTACCCATGTTTCTCCTAAGCAGATCGTCAGGGAAAAGCCAGCTTTTCCTGACGATCCCTGACGATATATATATAGTTCTAAAACATATAACGTATATGTTTATATACGTACAATATATGTTCCTTAGGTTCTTATGACTGCGATTGATAGTGGGGACAAGCTCCTGTTGTCTATAAAATGTGTCTGTGGCATGTGTCTTCATTAGTGTCTAAGCCCAGCTACATGCCACATATTAGGCGAAGGCAGATAACTGTCACCTCATGACCAGCTGTTTGGAGTATATAGAGCTTGACACCTAAAGAAGACAATCCGTCTAGGGGGAGGAAAAACCGTGATTTTAAACCTCTGATACCTTATGGCCATATCCAAATACGGCAAAATACTATGGAAGTCTATGCTAGTCAGAAAAGACGGGGTGGAGATTCAAAGACGGTTGGGGGTCAACCAACTTCTCCTGCGGCCAAATTAGATCCAAATGTATTACCCTGTATTCCTTTGAAACTTGTCAGTACAGCTGAGAATTAGTCTGGGCAGCGCACGACCTCTCTCTCTCTCTCTCTCTCTCCCAGGCCTACACCTTGAAGTGGTCACTGCAGTTACACCTCCAAAGGACTGAATTTTGACCAAACAGATTGTTAATCACTCTGTAATGGATTGTGACAAATAACATAAAAACAATTCATCTGATATATTTTAATAGACGCTCCGTTTTATTTTAAACAGTATTTATTTCACACACCCGGAAAAACTTATTAAAGAAAGCCAAGAGGTTAACGCCTAACGGATCAGAAAAGGCAATGGTTTCTCCAGAAACGAGGGACGCGAGTTCGAATCCTGTCTGACAGAACATTTTTTCTTTAATAAGTTTTCCAGACCGTTCAGGCCGATTGAGGAAATAAATATTATTTCAAATAAAACTAAGCGTCTACTCAGATACGACCATCCACTAAAAATAACGTTTGAAGAAATAAAATGTCAAATGAAAAAATAAAACCAATAATTCTTTTAAAATTGCTTTGTTTATCATCAATAGAAGCAAACTGAGCAAATCTGCCTTTCAAGAAAACCTGAACGAATAAGTGCACTTTAAAGAACGCTGGCTCAGACGGTGATTACAAAGTCCTACAAAGGAGGATGCAGGTTCGAATCCTCTCGGTGGGCACATTTTCTTTAGTATATTTTCTCGATATGTCGGTTTTAAAAAAAATATATATATATATATATATATATATATATATATGATATGAAAAATAAATATACGGAAAAAACAAACAAAAATCCTAATATACAATTATGCTGTTTTAATGTTAATATAATGTCAACGTCGGACGTTTCGGTCTAGTAGATCATCTTCAGGACATATTCATAAAACATAATTAACATAGACCATATTTAATTCAACATGAAAAAGACGATGGACATAAGAGCAAGATCAATCCAAACAGATAACTTTTTCATGTTGAATTGAATATGGTCTATGTTAATTATGTTTTATGAATATGTCCTGAAGATGGTCTATTAGACCGAAACGTCCGACGTTGACATTATATTAACATTAAAACAGCATAATTGTATATTAGGATTTTTGTTTGTTTTTTCCGTATATTTTTCTTCATACTGTCGGATCTATATCCATATATTTGCTTACATATATATGTATATATATATATATATGTGTGTGTGTGTGTGTGTGTGTGTGTGTGTGTGTGTGTGTTTATTAAGAAAATCGCAATGTGAAACATGTGTAAGTAGGAACATTTGATGTAAAAACAGTAATAATAATTTGTAACTTCAATCTAGATTCGAACTTGCAACTTTTGTGGGTGACTGCCTACCACAAATATTAGCCTAGATTTGTATATGTTTATTCATGAAAAGGTCGATGTTACTAATTCTCTACTATATTTAACGAGTAAAGACCTGTAATAGGAATATTTGCTTGAATTTGATCAATAAATATGAGTTTCGATTTGGAAAAATGTCACAAAATATGGAGTCATCGATTAACAAATGATTTCTATTAACCGATAAGTCGATTTCCATTTGCTCGTCGGTATATCTTCGTATTAATAACTTCCTGGATATAATTTTTAAATCCATGGATCGATAATTAGATATATTAAATTTTATTTACTTATTGTAGCCATGTACAATTTTCCAAAAGTCAATTTTACTTTTTAGAAAGTATGTAATATTCTCTTTTTGGGGTCACCATTTAGTTTCGCGCAACACCACAAGTTTCTCCAAGACATTAATCTAAAAATCTGATTCATGCTTTTAAATGGCTTAGCCAAAACGAGGCTTTCATATGGATGCTCTGCATTGCCACAAAACTGAGAGCCGTCTACAGAGTTTTGCAGATCGATTGTTAAAGGTGACTTCGAAAAAATGAAACTTGTATGTGTTAGCGAGGACCACCATTCTTCGAAGAACTGCACCAAATAACAGAAACCGCATCACGTGATGATTTTCAACTAAATACTTGAATACTAAAAGAACTCGAAGAAAAAAATAATCGCATAATGAAGATTTGGCTATTCCACACTACTTCAAACAAAAGATTAGCAAGGAAACTCCCATCGATATTGGAAAGAGTGATAACAATTAGTGGAGTTGAGGAACCTATTTCCCTGAAAAATTGTTTCAAGAGAAAGATTTTATAAATTTCAACCAACAACGGCATTGGTTGCTCGGCCAATGAATGTCGACTATTTCCTTATAAGGAAATGTTGGTAAATACTGAATAAAGGAAACAGCATATATTACAATTACCATTAATATATTTCGAAGCGTTCTCTTAATTTCTTCGCGGTTTCAATTCTTCGGTTATTTGTCTAGAGCCAAATCTAGACAGAAATATGGTTGACCAATGTTTTGCAATGAAAAAAAACATTTGAATGTGATGTAAAAAAAAATGACAGTCAAGATATTGAAAATGAATACTTGAATACTTAGAGAACAGTTTTTAAAATCGTCAGATCTTTTCCCCCTTATCGTTAATTGTTATTTTTTTTTTGCTTTGCACCTCACACCTGTTCAACATTTACGGATTTTCTACTTCTTAAAGACATTCCAGCATTTCAGAATAGTCTTGACCTCATAAGCCTTCTTAATCATCCCAATAGATTCCATATCACTGAGAATACACACACACACACACACACATATATATATATATATATAAAAAATTTACCAGAGTTAACCTCTAGAAAAAGACAATATGTATAAAGGTAAGAGACTATAGGAAAACCGTATTATTAGCCGACGTGTTTCGTGGACTTTTTCAAGTCAAAAACGAAATTTTTCAATAAATTCATTTCGTTTATGCCTTCAAGAAGTTATTAGGTGAAAAACAAAATCGGCTAATAGTACAGTTTTCCTATTGTCTTTACTTGTTTATATATGAAAAATTAAAACACACACACACACACACATATATATATATATATATATATATATATATATATATATATATATATATATATAGATATTAGAGAGATAGATATTAGATAGATAGATAGAGAGAGAGAGTAATCCATAGATAGACTGTTTCGTAGCTCATCAGTGTGGTCAGACGTCCGATTACTTCAAGCCAGGATCGAAACTCGACCGATTTGGCATTAGTCAAAGATCTTACCCCTACGGACACAAGGCAGAGAAAGGGAAATTTTAACGTATTCTAGTCGAAATGTATACAAACACCAGTAGCCAAGAGAGCTCAATTCGTAATTGAAGAGCGATGCATTAATAGCAGTAGCAGCGACTGTTTTGAAATTACTTTTTTTTTCTCAGGAATATATGTTTGTGTTTGTGTGCGTTTGCGTGTGTGTGTATGTGTGTATGCCAGTAAATATCTCAGTTTAACAGCTAACATATTCCACAACAGCTATATTTGAGTTTATTCTCAGAATAGTTCCTGTTTTATGACCTTGTGTCAGAGTTGCTTTGACGAATAAATGTATCATGAGATCTTTTCTTATCGACATATCGCTGTCAACGAAGCCAAACCAAGAGAGATGCGGATCAATCGAAACGGACAGATTATTGGTTATGTCAATGTGAAAATTATGGAAGGACCACTTCCAGAGAAAATCAGAATTCGACATCCTGGCATTTTACCTGAACTGAATCTCTGACTTGTGGCACAGGACTGTTACTATTCCTGTCACAGGGGAGGGGGGTAGTTATCTCCCTCACTCTCATTTTATTCAGTTCTACCTAATGCAATCTTTTCATATCTATCTCTCTCTCTATATATATATATTCGCATCATATCAATCTGTATATTCATATATTGAACATAGATATATAAATAGATAGATAGATAAATACGAAGAGACCGAGATAGATAGATAGATAGATAGATATGAACAGAATAAGATAGATAGATAGATAGATAGATAGATATGAAAAGATTGTGATAGATATGAACAGAATTAGATAGATAGATAGATAGATAGATAGATAGATAGATAGATAGATACATACATACATATGAACACATAGATAGATAGATAGATAGATAGATAGATAGATAGATAGATAGATAGATAGATAATGAACATACGTAGATAGATATTAATTGACTGAGATAAATAGATATGAACAGAATGAGATAGATAGATATGAACAGACAGACAAAGACAGACAGATAGATAGATAGATAGATAGATAGATAGATAGATAGATAGATATGAAAATATTGTGATAGATATGAACAGAATTAGATAGATAGATAGATAGATAGATACATACATATGAACACATAGATAGATAGATAGATAGATAGATAGATAGATAGATAATGAACATACGTAGATAGATATTAATTGACTGAGATAAATAGATATGAACAGAATGAGATAGATAGATATGAACAGACTGACAAAGACAGACAGATAGATAGATAGATAGAGAGAGAGAGAGAGAGAGAGAGAGAGATGGATATTTTCAATCTGCTTTTTATTTGACAAATATTCGATTACTATGTTTTTGCGTTCTGTTTTTGATGAGATACTTTTTCGTTCTCTATCTTTTTCTCTTTTCTCACGTGCAACCTCTGCCTCTACATTTGACTCTCCTTTTCCCTCCCTCATATTTTATCTTTCTCAGGATCTCTCTCTCTCTCTCTCTCTATCTATCTATCTATCTATCTATCTCTCAATTTTATGTCACTTACTAACCCTCTCTCGTTCTGGCTCAAATTCCTACTCACTCACTCTTTCTCTTTCTATCTCTCTCGCTCGCTCTCTGTTTATCACTTCTCCTCTCTTTTATTCTTTCATACTCTTTCTCTCACTTTCACTCACCTATCCTCTCTGACGCTTAGTGTCTCTCGTTCCCTCTGTAACCTTTTCTTACTGTCTCTCTGGCCATTACTCTCACATTCCCGTCTTTTCACTCCTCTCTTATCTCATTTTTTTCTTACTCACTTTCTCAAAGAACCTTTCTATTTCCTTTCTCTCTCTCTTTCCCGATGTATTTCTCTTATTTCTCTCTCTCTCTCTCTCTCTCTCTCAATTACTTCTCTATCACTCGTCACTGTCTATCTTTCACCCTCTCTCATAAACTCTTTTTAACACCCACTAATTTTCGTTTTCTCTCTATTTCTATCTGTCGCTTTAGTTATTCTCGTTTCGACGAGGCGATAAAAACAATTCCATGTTCAATTAATAATTGATAAAAAAAAAGCCAGTAAAACCTTCCCAGCATCAAATAACCCGTGTCTTCATTTAACTGAAACACGTTTAATTTAAAATATATTTTAATGTTTTTTTTAATTTTTTTCATTCACAGTGGTAAAAAATTTTACAATTTATTTACCAAACGTGATTCGAATAAAGTGCGTTGTGTTTTTAACTTGATGCTTGTATGTTGTTAAATCGAAGAGCTTAAAAAATTAAAATTACAATAAAGTAAATATGCTTTCGTATTAAATAGCAAATGATGAACTTAAACTACGGAATTGCAAGATTTTTATGTGTTCTGCTATGTTGGTTAAAAATTAGCAATCACGTCACACAGTCGATGACGACAAAATAGAGTATTATTCTTCATTGGGTGATAAAATATCTGGGAAATATTTTAACAGGGGACAGAAAATGTGACGCATTGGGATAGCGAAAGATGCCTTTCAAAAGCTAAGCAAAGTATTAAGAAATAGGAACTTTTCGTTAGAATGGTTGACAGTCTCCTGGGACTTCAAGCAACAGAAATGTGGTTCTACATAAGGCTTCTTAGAATACCATGCACCGAACATGTGAGCAATAATGACGTTTTAAAGAAATAGTGACAAAAGGGACACTTCTAATTAACATCAGGTAGAAACTGTTCAAATTTCTAGGGGAGCACAAATTCTGGAAAAAATTTAAAATTTCATACTCTGTAGGGCGGATTAAAAGGCAAATATATTGTACAGATGAAAACAACGCATAATCTAACTAGAGTAAATGGATGACAGAACAAGTTTAGGAGAGATAACAAAGACTAAATTAATTAAATCCATAGAACAGAAAATTTTTTTTTTGAATGTTTTTCTCGCCAAATTTCTGAAGATACACAATTGACATTTATAGATTTCAAAAATTTCGACGATGTGTTTAAAATCTTGACAAGTTATGTCTGGCAAACCATTTTTTTCCATCTCAGAGTTGCTTTTTTTTTTGTTTACCTTTTTATTCAGTCAAACCAAATCTGCGTCTTATCTGTTAAAGCCTGGTAGTCTGACAAGTCGATGAAAACCTATTCTGTCTTTTTTGTGCTCCACTATTATTGTCTTGTGCCAAACTTATCATGACTTAGAAACTATCGTATAACAAATTTAGATGGATAAATGACAATTCCTTTTCAAGAGTATTATGTTATCCCAAGGAATCTTTTGCAGTTTACTTGTAGAGATGATGGGTGCCGCCAAATAACGCCATTGAAAAGGGAATTCATTATCATTAGTCACTGTCTTTGCCTTTTCCAATTTTAAAACTAATCTTTTATTTCCCATTTTATTACAATCTTGATTTTGTATTGACAAAAATGATGTTATCCCTTGCCTCTGTTCTGGGTTTTCGTCTACTGCTTTTTCCAGGACTTAGTAAATTTAGCAAAAAAAATAAATAAATAAATAAATAAAATAAATAAAAATGTTTTAGAAAAAAAACTTTAAGCATTCTACACACATTTTTCTCCAAGTTTCTCTGGAATGTTTCAATATATGGTTTTTTTTCTCTGGCGTTATTCATAACTCATATCCTAAGATGATATCAACACAAAACAAACTGACATTCTGGTACTGACATCCCTTCGGATTTCGATTCAACAAACAAGGACCAGGAATCTGGAAACTCAATCAAGTCGTTGCCATAGACAACGACTTGATATTAAAACATGGATGTGTGTACAAATATAGCCACATAGAAATTTCTCAGCCTGTTGTTCATAATTGCTAATTTAATCCAGTTGCAGTAGTTAAAATAGAATCCAGCAGAATTCGTACAGTTGACCAGGTTTTCAAAAATGCTGAATGTCTTTTGCACTAAACAATTTTGAATATTTCTTGCAATAAATATGATCTCTATTTTAACCATAAACATCCGGGCTGAGGCTAAATCTGTCTCCTCCAGCACGTGATGCCTCTTACAAGCCTGCAATTTTTCCATTTTCCGATGTCATATATTTTTACACCAGATATAGAAAATATATCCGGCTCGCAGTCCTGATGTTGGTAAAAACCCAGGTGTCACCAATTCCAGTTTGCGGAATATATTCTCGCAAGATGCATAGCACATGAATCCAATCCTGCTTTTTCTTTGGAAATACTACATTATCTTCTCCAGAAACATTTTTAATCTTCAAATTCCCAATTCTCGTTGAGAATTATTATACAAAAAACTCTGCTTGTTGTGACGTACATGTTATATTTTCTCTGTGTAGGACACGTATAAATATGTATATATGATTTGTGTATGACTTAGCTTTATAAGCCTCTCTCTGAAAACAAAGCATGTTTGTCATTCCCTTTCTTTTAGCCATTGAGTTCCGTCCGTGAAATAAATTGTTATAAGTTAATAATCAGATTTTTGCGGAACATTCATTCACCAAACAAAGAGCCCTTTCAGCTTTCATTTGAAATTTATAAAATATTTTTTCTTTTTGCAATTTTTTAAAACACAGATTTCTCATGTTCAGTAGCTTTATCGCTTTTCCAGTATTGATTTTAGGTTTCCTTCCCTAACCTTTTATTTGAAGTTACTGTGGAATATCAACATCTTGATTATTAAATTTTATTTCTGGTATCGAAGAGTTAAATCAAATTAAACATTTCCATCATTTGAATGGCTATTTTCACTTTGGTTTATCAATTCTCGTCATTTGTACTGATAAAACTTTTATCATATCTTTTGAATGTTTCAATTTTGAAACATTTCACTGTGAATTTATAGCTTTTTCCTAAACAATATAGAACAATGTTTTCAGCCATGAAACTGTCAAAGAAAATATGTAATCTTAGACCGAGCAAGATACACAAAGATATAAAAGGTAATACGATAAAATGGATTTAATTTTGTTTGTCAGCAGGTGCTCACAAGTTTAGAGACGACTAACGAACAATTAAAAAAGGTTTGATGCACGATATCACATGCACAGTATTCGTGTATGTTTTATTAGAGATTCAGCCTTCCTTAAAATGTCAGTGTAAACATCAACGTTCCTGGTGATAGGTGAGATTTGGTCTGGACGAGCAACAACATATATCTAGAATATAAAATATGATTATAATTGAATATTGTTTGAATTTATTATTGCTAGTGGAACATTATATATATATATATATATATATATATATATATATATATATATATATATGACATATATATATATATATATATATATATATATATATATATATATATATACATAACCATTTAAAAATAATATATATATATTTTTATGTTTGTGTGTGTGTGTTTAGACAACGGAAAATATAGATGTAATTCCTGGAAAATTGCTATCATCATGTGTTATTGTTTTGGAAATTGCGCTCGCAAAATAATTACAAGTATATTTTTTTTAGTATTATCCGAAAATTTGCAATTTTGGATCATCTTATTTTTTGAAAAAAAAAAATCAATTTTAAAAAACCAAGAACAAATCTATTTCCATACCTGAGGATGTCTATTAGGAACAGACGAAATTTGTAAAAACTGAAAAATCATTATGAATCTGGAATTTATAAACAGGGATCATCATATCATTCATATACAGGTTCAGGGGTTGAATGTATCTTATTGAAATTGTTTTGCGAAGATGTATTCTCACCATTTAAATTTTAACCTCTATATTTGTTTTTTTGTATGAATGATTCATGTAATTATAAATTAAACTGCATTTTATAATAAAATTAAAATAATTGATCCAACGTCAACTTTCATTAAATAGTTTTGACATTCATGTGATTATTGAACAATCTAGTTCATGTCAAATTGAATTTAAACCTACCAGTTAAAAAAAAATTCTCTTATTACTATATTTTTAATTTTACTTCGCACAAACCTTAAAATTTAAAATCCTGCTTTAAAAATTTCATCTGTCTGTATTCATTTATCAATTTAATTTTTAGACTGATAAATAGAATCCGAATTTTGAAAACATAAATTTATTATGAAATATATTTATTTGATTATCTCCCCAGTTAGCCCCTATAATTGCTTAATATAAAAAAGTAAGAAAGCAATGTATATCCACTGCTGACCACTATATATGTATGTATAATTTATATTTGTGTGCATAATTATTTCTAGCATTCTTTTTATGGTACTTCCATTAATCTGTTCCTCCTATTCAAAGGATTTTCTTTGTAAATTATTTTCATAAATAAATATACAATAAAAACCTTATATATATATATATTGATATTATATTTACATATATATAACATGTTTTATTTAGGTATTTCTTCCCAAATAATTTAACAATATATATATTATTTATATATATATATATATTTTTGATGCATGTTTCATTTCATAAAAAAAACATTATCATTATATTGATACATATTTTTTAATTCTATCTAAAAAATCACCATATTGATACATAAGCCATTATCAAAGATGACAATTACATTACAATATATTAAACAATACACGGACAAAATCAAACAATAATGATGAAAACAATAATGATAGTCTGTTTTTGTTGAAAAATTTCAAAGGAACGACAAACTTTGCATATAAGACGCTGGAAGCGAAAATCGCACCGCAGTTCATGACATCACCCATGACCACGCATGAGTGAAAACGAGAAGTATTAAGTATGGGAAGCCGTTGGTATAAACCAATGGCTTCTATTATCAATTATAGGCATTTAAGAATATTTGTGGAGATTTCGTAGTTTATTTTGTTCAGGTTAGGTTTCAACTGTTTTATGTATATAGCTTCAAGAATTTTTAGTTTTTATTTATTGTTTTCATGTTTAAGTATAGTTTCAACGAGGATTTTCCGGAATTGTGTACGCGGCTAGGCATGTTGTTGTAAATGCCTAAAAATGTTAGAGTTATCATTCAAATGTAGTGTCAAGTGTTGTG